ATATCGCTGTCAAAACAACAGGCTGACTTTACTAAGTATATAATTCACTCAACAACGTACATGCTTCCATGCAAAGAAAGCACTGCTTTAAATAGTTAGTGAACGTTTAAGGAAATATTTTTTTAAAAAGACAAAGTCAAAGTGAAATTAAAATATCTTACCTTGGTAAACAGTCAAACAGATACAACGTGTGCTATAATTATACTTTGTGCTTTAGGTCTTCGCTTTCTAAGTTAGCAAAGTGTTGCCCTTTTTTTGTAACGGTTCTTCGGCGTTTCGGGACGTTTTTCAACTTTTTTCAAAATTAAATATTGTTTGTATTTTGTCTTTTAAACTCCCGCGCAATCCACGCAACCCGCGTGAAAATTCCCCGTGTTTCTATCGAGTTATAGAAACACGTTTTTTTTAGCTTTTGACCAATCAGCGCCCGTGTTTTTAAAAGGCTATTTTATAAAGTCCAACAGATATCGATTGTTTGGATAACTATACACTGCTTCATGTTAATAAGGTTTTGCCACTGACTTACACTGTCATTACATTTTAAAGTTTTGAATGACCTATACACTACCATTACTGTTGTCTTCTACATTCATTATATTATAGATTATATTCATTATATGTATATACCAATTACGCCGACTAGCTATGCGCATTTTCTGTTCTTGTTTCTCCAATTTTAAATAATTTTCGCCGGACCATCATTTCAAACGTTATATAACTTTCAAAAACTCATTAATAATTCATGAAGCAATTATCCAATCTTGAATAAGAAATTAGTCACGTGCATACGTCTTTATACCAGCTGAAGAACACTTTAACAAAAGACCATTGTTATGCAAACTATATAAAGGTTTTTATATAAAGATTTTTATATAAAGATTTTTATATAAAGATTTGACTTATTATGCATACGTTTTTGAAGTCATTTAAAAAACTCGCGGGTCGTGTTTTATTAGGTCTAAAGCCACTCGCGCTGCGCGCTCGTGGCTTTAAACCTAATAAAACACTCCTGCTCGTTTTTTAAATAGTACATAAATTATTCAAGAAAGAAAAACGTCGCCATTGAAGCATGCTCCACTCATTTGACAAAATCATTCCCTGAATAGCTTCGTTGCCTCCTTGAAATTTAATTCTTGATTTTCTAAAACACTCGCGCGAATAAAGATGAGTGAACGAACAACAACACTTCTCGCAGATTCCACACGAATAATAACTTCTTTGTCGTCTCCTTCAACAGGCACGCGGTATTCGGGTAAATCGGGTTCACCTTCCATCCCTTCGTAGCTAAAAAAT